TTCTCCAATCCAAAGCAGGCGCCACCAACGATCCCCGCAAATCTGGGACACTTCGTTCCCGCCGACTCCATTTCCTCAAGTTTTGCTATGATATGAACCTGCGCGACGACTATTTAATGAATGGCCCCGACTTCCCTCACGAACGCCGCGTCGCAACCTTTGCACTCTACACAGTGGCACTTGCTACCGATCGCACAATTAAAGGACAATACATCAAGTCTGCCACAATCAAGCAGTACCTCCATGCTGCAGCGTCTTTTATCTGCCTTTTTACCGGTCGTGATCCCCGATACAACAACCCGAGCAACACCAAAATGTCACCCGATATTCATGCCACCATTGTAATAATAATAACGGAGACATTAATCGTTAGGATGCTACTCTATGGGCATTCGATTGCTGAAGTGGAGCGCCATGAAAAAGTTCCCAATAAACTTGAGCCCTACACCCTTGACATGCAACAACACCTCGAGCACCGCAATACCCACACCAAAGCCCACCGAGACGGTCTCTGGAAAACATGTGAAGACTGGAACAGTATCGGCCTCCTCGATGGCCACCGCCTGTCCGAGTATAAAATTCAGTTTCAAAAATCAAAAAACAAAAATCACGCATTTTGCAAAAACAAAAAGTCATCTTCTCTAGTACTTTATCTACGCAATGACCGTGTAGCGACACCGGTTTTGCTGTTAAAAGTGCTTGATTGAGGACTTCAACCATGGGCTCTGATGATGATCAATCAGATGAGATGGCTCTGAACTTGACAAAGGCTGCAACTGATCAAGGTCAGGGAGGCCTGGAGGAAAAAACCCGTTCAAATTCGACCACCCAACTGACGGTTGACTTGGTAAAGGATGATCCAAGCGATGACCCCATGGAACTGTTTGAAACCGTTTGGCATGCTTTGATACCTCCCAAGAGCGGACACAAGCAACCCCCTCCTTCCAAAATCGCCGAGGATGGCGCACTGAAAGGACAGCCGCTTGTTGCCTCTCCCAAGAAACTCAATCCAAGCAATGACCCCATGGAATTTGTTGAAATTGTTTGGCATGCTTTGACAACGGCGTTTCCACCAACCATTGATCATTCTTTGGACAGATTCTCAATTGGATGGTCCACAAAACAAGGTCGGACCCAGAACAAAATTTTCAACTATTTACACACAACAACAATCCTATTTTATGATGTCTGCGCTGCCCATCAGAAGTGGCCAACAACCATGGGCTCGAATGAAGCAAAATCACAAGAGACGGCTTTGAAATCGACAAGGACTGCACCTGAGCACGCTCAGGAAGGTCTGGAGGCAACAACCCGCTCGAATTCTACCACCCTATTGACGGTTGACCTGGTGAAGGACAACCCCAATGCTTGCATTTCCTCCATGTTGTACAGCATATTTGTCTTGTTTCTTTCTCTGGAAAAGATACAGCAGACCGATTTTCTTGGTCTACCCTTCCAAATCCCCACCAACAGAGTGGGAGCGCCAATCTGCCCATTGACAGATGACTTGAGAGAATTGCATTCAATTCTTTCCTTGGAAAAGGTACCCACAAAATTCCTCTGTATCCCAGGAGAAATCCTTGCATCTTGTTTGTACTCCCCCACCAACAGTGGGAGCGCCGATTTGTCCCCTGACATGATCGACTAGAGCAAATTTTTTCTTGAAAAATGCCTCAACGTGGTTCAAACTTATCTGACTAAAAGCAGCATAGTTCCTGGCCTCTACAGCCGTATTACACCGGCAGTTGGATACTCTAGAAGTAGCATAAAAACCAATTAATGATTCAGTTATATATATATACACCGCCTGTCCGAGTATGCCCAAACTTCCGCCAACAAAAATATTGGCGACCAAGCAACCTTTGACGGCATTTCCATTGCATTTTGTGTCGAAGATGTTACCTGTTTCGACAAGTTCAAACGCAAAGTATCCATTTCCGACTTCCTTCAGAATCCAGACCTTGTTTGGCGCATAAAAACCCGTTTCTCCCATCAGAAGAACGGTAACCATGGGGAAGAAAAACTTTTTATTCGCAGCAAAAAGTCCCCACTCCGTTGCTACATCCGTCGGATGCATTCCATCCTTTCCCGGTTTGACCGATTGATCGGCATCACCACAACCAATGTCCCCCTTGCGGTATACCAAGATGGCGCCCGCGTCCTCTTCCTTCATGACGCAGAAATCACCCGTGTCATGCGCCATGTTGCTTGTTCGCTCTACAACCTAGCTAGACCCCAAACAAGACAAGATCCAGTATTCTTCCCACTCTATCCGAGTTGGCGCCTGTGTCCTCCTCCACACCTCCGGAGCAACCACTGACCAGATCAAGTTCCTCCTCCGATGGAAATCCGATGCCTTTATGGCATACCTGCGCAACGTCGCCCATCTGTGCATGCAACAAAATGATGCCATCACCATGATCGATGCAACTACATTTCTTATATAACTCCCTTGCTACCTTACGCAACTTTTCCACTCCCTTTTATATGATGCACCAGCCATCCACAATTTTCTTTCTTTTCTTTTTCTTTTTCCCACTCCATGCACTCGCTAGTGTATTGGCCCTTTCTTCCGTTTCCTCCGGAAGCGATCGCATACCATTCCTTGGCCTGATTTATCTCTTCTGCACCAAATGCTCGGTACCATCCAGGTCCCAAATTTGTGTCACGTTTGAGTCCATTGAGTCGAATATTCGATTCCCGTTTCCAAATCCGGTCCCTAATTCTAGTTACCAAGCTTACGATGCCAAACCTACATCTCTTACTTACGTATGGAGGACTGGCATAATCTTGTTTGGTACAAATTCGTAGTATGCAATCATCCTAGGCCAATCACGCTAGATATCGAGTCATGAAGTGGAGGCGGCGCCTGGTAATCCGTAGGATTAGCCGCAATCGACACGACGGAAACTGAGACTAAGGAAGAGCTAGAAACGCCCATACGTCTCCCGTCTTGCCGATCAAGATTTCACGGTCCGTCTGTCATCCGTGTCATGTATATTCGTACGTCGGTCTGGTCATCGTCCGTTTTCACGAAATCTCTTTACTGTAAGTGGTGCACTGATCTGATGTGTACCTGGTACTGGAGCTAGCTGCCTCTCGTCATCATTGGAGCTGAGGATCTGGCTAGTCATTGGACCTGCCTGCGTATGAACAAGCGAAAGACACAACAAACAAACCTTAGTGTATAGTACTCTTTCACAGCAAAAAAATCTAAACCTCCTAATTGACTTTGCTCAATATCGCAACTATAGTACAGCACTTTTCTCAACTATAGTACGACACTTTTCTTGTAAGATTTTGCTTAATTGTGACCTTCTCCAAGGATACCCCCCGCAAGGGTTCCACCCTTGACCCGCTGGGGGCATGGCCCTCAGACCCCCTTACTTAACAGAATAAATGCTCTTTTGCGCGACATTCTGTTAACGGGGTCGACTGACTGTACAGGACAGTAGTTCGTGATCGTATGTTAACCGATACAACAAGCCGACGTTTCTGTTAAGTTCCTACTGTCGCACTTCACATGATGAATTGTTTTAGAAAGAAAAAAAACAATTGAAATAGTTGCAAACATATTGAGGAGCACTTGTCTCTCTACCTTGAATGAAACGGTGAAGCGGATTTTTTCAAATTAAAAAATACATACTGTACAATCTGAATGAAATGGTACAGCGTATTTTAATACATACAATATGCTAATACTGCTCTAGGGGTGAAATCAGGCAACATCTCTGTTTGACTCTTTTCCAGATGATTCCAGTTGCGCAACCACAACATCTTGTTTGAAGTGAAATAACAGAAGCGACATGAAGCTCATGACCCCAAACACACAGAGTCCAACAACTGCAAAAAGTGTATTCGTTGTTTTATCACCCTGGCCAAACTTCAGGAATGTTGCAAAGAGTAGTAGATTCTGGTTTGCAATTACTATCATGACCCCCAATAAGAAGCCAACTGAAAAAGATGTTGGGAAACGTTTCAGCACAAACGTTCCAAGAACACCCAATCCCAAATGGACCAATCCAGACCATATAGAAGCAATCAAAACAGCGAACGACCCATCGTTTGATTTCATGTTCATCACTAGTTACAGAAAAGGAATTTGTAAGAATTTGCACAATCTAGCTGCCTCAGACAGTTGTTTACATAGGGGCTTACTTTCGAAAATGGCAACCACAAAGTATAGGACTACGAAAAGGAGACTTATTCCCCACAATCGATGAACAGACCCCCTCGGATCTGCGGAACATGAGGAGAAGACCTGAGTCAGAATCCCTTCACCTATGGAAGCTGTTGCTTCTGATTCCGCCATGGTGTACAGAATTTCAAATTTTTCTGTCTTTGTTTTTCAAGTCAGCGCTAAAATGAAATGCTCGTCGAATTATTTTTTAAAATAAATACTGCAATACTCAAGTCTTAATATATTTAATCTTCAAGACTCTGGAACACCCGGCAAATGACGAAAATCCGTACCGCGCGGGGTCGACTGTGGGAATTCTGATGTCTTTCAATTGGCGATCCCTGCCTTAAATATATTTCAGTTTTTAAACAATATCATTTTCACAGAACAACTTTATTTTCGAACTCACACGTTTGAGTTATAACTCAAACGTGTGAGTTATAACTCAAACGTGTGAGTTTTTACTCAAACGTGTGAGTTATAACTCAAACGTGTGAGTTTTTACTCAAACGTGTGAGTTATAACTCAAACGTGTGAGTTATAACTCAAACGTGTGAGTTTTTACTCAAACGTGTGAGTTTTTACTCAAACGTGTGAGATTTTACTCACCGAGCCGAGCTTCCCCCTTTTCCAAAACCGTTGCTGGAAATTCGAGCTGGCGGACCAACGACTACTTTCACCAAAAGATACAGTCCAGTACTTTTCCAGATCCAAACCCTATAAAAGAACTTGTCACGCAACATCATTGGGACAAAAACGAGTTCTACGGCGAGGCAGGAGGTGAAAGGAGAGAGACTTTCAGCCGCTTCCTCACCGACAAGGTCAGAAGAAAGGGTTTTGGTTGGAAAGAATACGTTGATTTGCTGCATGAACGGGAAGTTGACATGTCAGCAAACACGGAGACGCAGCTGGCAACGGAACTTCAAGCCAAGGGAGGGCCAAACGATGCTGTGGTGAACGACGCTCGTGCTGTTGCGTTTGCTGTGCTTGATTCTGCTAATGAAAAAAAAACTACACTCAACCTGTTATTTCTACTAAAAATTCTGACATTGCCATGGACGACCTTGCGCAATGCTCATGACAAGGCAAGAGACAAACCGTTACAGGAAGATTTGATTTAGGCTGATGACCTGGCCAAGCACCCAACAACCCACCCATAACGCACGTGGCGAGCTCAAGTTTTATTTGACAAGGGCAAAACAGAAAAAAATCATGTTGGCCTCACAGCATCGGAGTTTCAAGAAACTAGGGTTGAATACCACCCATTCAAAAAACGAAAATTCAGAGAGCGGATTCAACAAGAAATTAGATTTCAAAAGTACCGCAACTGTCTGGAGGATAAAAGAATGAACAAGCTGGCGAAGTTGAAGAAGGAAGAAAAGAAAGAGAAAAAGAAAGAAAACTTGTTGCTCTATGAACAACGCATGAAAGTAGCAATGGCCAAAAAGGAGGAGGAAACAAAGAAGCAGGAGGAAGAATCGCCGATGTCTGAGGACTAGCAAGTAGTAGTAAAATTGTATTAGATATGTGGTAAATTATCCTATTTCAAAGAGAGGGTGACCTTTAATCATTTGGAATTGGACTGTTCCAACAACTGCATTTTTTGATGTTTGTCTCTCGAATATTTGAACCTGTCGTCCAAAATAATAAAAAGCACTTCAATCAACAATTAAAAGTTTCATGGTGAAGCCGAGCACGTTACTTATACTCGTGGTTTTCTTTGGAGTCTGTGTTGCATCTCGCTTGAAGCTGCCCTTCCCCCATTGGAGAACATCATCCCCCTGACATTTTCTGAGTACGTTTGAGTTATAACTCACACGTTTGAGTAAAAACTCACACGTTTGAGTAAAAACTCACACGTTTGAGTTATAACTCACACGTACTCACACGTTTGAGTTATAACTCAACGCCGTGAGTTATAACTCAGGATTCCGTTGTGATCTGAGTTATAACTCAGAAAAAGTCACAATGACCAATCGGTCATCTGTGTCCATAAGTCCTTATTTGATAAATCATCACATAATAATATGTCATTAATAGTTAAAGGGAAATAATATAGATTTTTCGAAGCTAAAAATATAATTTTATATCTCCGGGCACGAGCACGTCAAACTTTGCGATCAGTGTCCCGAAAATACTCGGTCTGAACATTTGCCGGGTGTTCCTGATCCTAATTCTGTAAATAACAAAGGGTCATTTGATGGTCGCAGGGTCATTAAGAAACTTCGAATTCCAAATCATATCAATAGACGGAATCCTGAAGTTGGGAGATCCTTGAGTTATAACTCACACGTTTGAGTTATAACTCAAACGTGTGAGTTATAACTCAAACGTGTGAGTTATAACTCAAACGTGTGAGTTTTTACTCAAACGTGTGAGATTTTACTCAAACGTGCGAGCTTCCCCCTTTCCAAAACCGTTGCTGGAAATTCGAGCTGGCGGACCAACGACTACTTTCACCAAAAGATACAGTCCTGTACTTTTCCAGATCCAAACCCTATAAAAGAACTTGTCACGCAACATCATTGGGACAAAAACGAGTTCTACGGCGAGGCAGGAGGTGAAAGGAGAGAGACTTTCAGCCGCTTCCTCACCGACAAGGTCAGAAGAAAGGGTTTTGGTTGGAAAGAATACGTTGATTTGCTGCATGAACGGGAAGTTGACATGTCAGCAAACACGGAGACGCAGCTGGCAACGGAACTTCAAGCCAAGGGAGGGCCAAACGATGCTGTGGTGAACGACGCTCGTGCTGTTGCGTTTGCTGTGCTTGATTCTGCTAATGAAAAAAAAACTACACTCAACCTGTTATTTCTACTAAAAATTCTGACATTGCCATGGACGACCTTGCGCAATGCTCATGACAAGGCAAGAGACAAACCGTTACAGGAAGATTTGATTTAGGCTGATGACCTGGCCAAGCACCCAACAACCCACCCATAACGCACGTGGCGAGCTCAAGTTTTATTTGACAAGGGCAAAACAGAAAAAAATCATGTTGGCCTCACAGCATCGGAGTTTCAAGAAACTAGGGTTGAATACCACCCATTCAAAAAACGAAAATTCAGAGAGCGGATTCAACAAGAAATTAGATTTCAAAAGTACCGCAACTGTCTGGAGGATAAAAGAATGAACAAGCTGGCGAAGTTGAAGAAGGAAGAAAAGAAAGAGAAAAAGAAAGAAAACTTGTTGCTCTATGAACAACGCATGAAAGTAGCAATGGCCAAAAAGGAGGAGGAAACAAAGAAGCAGGAGGAAGAATCGCCGATGTCTGAGGACTAGCAAGTAGTAGTAAAATTGTATTAGATATGTGGTAAATTATCCTATTTCAAAGAGAGGGTGACCTTTAATCATTTGGAATTGGACTGTTCCAACAACTGCATTTTTTGATGTTTGTCTCTCGAATATTTGAACCTGTCGTCCAAAATAATAAAAAGCACTTCAATCAACAATTAAAAGTTTCATGGTGAAGCCGAGCACGTTACTTATACTCGTGGTTTTCTTTGGAGTCTGTGTTGCATCTCGCTTGAAGCTGCCCTTCCCCCATTGGAGAACATCATCCCCCTGACATTTTCTGAGTACGTTTGAGTTATAACTCACACGTTTGAGTAAAAACTCACACGTTTGAGTAAAAACTCACACGTTTGAGTTATAACTCACACGTACTCACACGTTTGAGTTATAACTCAACGCCGTGAGTTATAACTCAGGATTCCGTTGTGATCTGAGTTATAACTCAGAAAAAGTCACAATGACCAATCGGTCATCTGTGTCCATAAGTCCTTATTTGATAAATCATCACATAATAATATGTCATTAATAGTTAAAGGGAAATAATATAGATTTTTCGAAGCTAAAAATATAATTTTATATCTCCGGGCACGAGCACGTCAAACTTTGCGATCAGTGTCCCGAAAATACTCGGTCTGAACATTTGCCGGGTGTTCCTGATCCTAATTCTGTAAATAACAAAGGGTCATTTGATGGTCGCAGGGTCATTAAGAAACTTCGAATTCCAAATCATATCAATAGACGGAATCCTGAAGTTGGGAGATCCTTGAGTTATAACTCACACGTTTGAGTTATAACTCAAACGTGTGAGTTATAACTCAAACGTGTGAGTTATAACTCAAACGTGTGAGTTTTTACTCAAACGTGTGAGATTTTACTCAAACGTGCGAGCTTCCCCCTTTCCAAAACCGTTGCTGGAAATTCGAGCTGGCGGACCAACGACTACTTTCACCAAAAGATACAGTCCTGTACTTTTCCAGATCCAAACCCTATAAAAGAACTTGTCACGCAACATCATTGGGACAAAAACGAGTTCTACGGCGAGGCAGGAGGTGAAAGGAGAGAGACTTTCAGCCGCTTCCTCACCGACAAGGTCAGAAGAAAGGGTTTTGGTTGGAAAGAATACGTTGATTTGCTGCATGAACGGGAAGTTGACATGTCAGCAAACACGGAGACGCAGCTGGCAACGGAACTTCAAGCCAAGGGAGGGCCAAACGATGCTGTGGTGAACGACGCTCGTGCTGTTGCGTTTGCTGTGCTTGATTCTGCTAATGAAAAAAAAACTACACTCAACCTGTTATTTCTACTAAAAATTCTGACATTGCCATGGACGACCTTGCGCAATGCTCATGACAAGGCAAGAGACAAACCGTTACAGGAAGATTTGATTTAGGCTGATGACCTGGCCAAGCACCCAACAACCCACCCATAACGCACGTGGCGAGCTCAAGTTTTATTTGACAAGGGCAAAACAGAAAAAAATCATGTTGGCCTCACAGCATCGGAGTTTCAAGAAACTAGGGTTGAATACCACCCATTCAAAAAACGAAAATTCAGAGAGCGGATTCAACAAGAAATTAGATTTCAAAAGTACCGCAACTGTCTGGAGGATAAAAGAATGAACAAGCTGGCGAAGTTGAAGAAGGAAGAAAAGAAAGAGAAAAAGAAAGAAAACTTGTTGCTCTATGAACAACGCATGAAAGTAGCAATGGCCAAAAAGGAGGAGGAAACAAAGAAGCAGGAGGAAGAATCGCCGATGTCTGAGGACTAGCAAGTAGTAGTAAAATTGTATTAGATATGTGGTAAATTATCCTATTTCAAAGAGAGGGTGACCTTTAATCATTTGGAATTGGACTGTTCCAACAACTGCATTTTTTGATGTTTGTCTCTCGAATATTTGAACCTGTCGTCCAAAATAATAAAAAGCACTTCAATCAACAATTAAAAGTTTCATGGTGAAGCCGAGCACGTTACTTATACTCGTGGTTTTCTTTGGAGTCTGTGTTGCATCTCGCTTGAAGCTGCCCTTCCCCCATTGGAGAACATCATCCCCCTGACATTTTCTGAGTACGTTTGAGTTATAACTCACACGTTTGAGTAAAAACTCACACGTTTGAGTAAAAACTCACACGTTTGAGTTATAACTCACACGTACTCACACGTTTGAGTTATAACTCAACGCCGTGAGTTATAACTCAGGATTCCGTTGTGATCTGAGTTATAACTCAGAAAAAGTCACAATGACCAATCGGTCATCTGTGTCCATAAGTCCTTATTTGATAAATCATCACATAATAATATGTCATTAATAGTTAAAGGGAAATAATATAGATTTTTCGAAGCTAAAAATATAATTTTATATCTCCGGGCACGAGCACGTCAAACTTTGCGATCAGTGTCCCGAAAATACTCGGTCTGAACATTTGCCGGGTGTTCCTGATCCTAATTCTGTAAATAACAAAGGGTCATTTGATGGTCGCAGGGTCATTAAGAAACTTCGAATTCCAAATCATATCAATAGACGGAATCCTGAAGTTGGGAGATCCTTGAGTTATAACTCACACGTTTGAGTTATAACTCAAACGTGTGAGTTATAACTCAAACGTGTGAGTTATAACTCAAACGTGTGAGTTTTTACTCAAACGTGTGAGATTTTACTCAAACGTGCGAGCTTCCCCCTTTCCAAAACCGTTGCTGGAAATTCGAGCTGGCGGACCAACGACTACTTTCACCAAAAGATACAGTCCTGTACTTTTCCAGATCCAAACCCTATAAAAGAACTTGTCACGCAACATCATTGGGACAAAAACGAGTTCTACGGCGAGGCAGGAGGTGAAAGGAGAGAGACTTTCAGCCGCTTCCTCACCGACAAGGTCAGAAGAAAGGGTTTTGGTTGGAAAGAATACGTTGATTTGCTGCATGAACGGGAAGTTGACATGTCAGCAAACACGGAGACGCAGCTGGCAACGGAACTTCAAGCCAAGGGAGGGCCAAACGATGCTGTGGTGAACGACGCTCGTGCTGTTGCGTTTGCTGTGCTTGATTCTGCTAATGAAAAAAAAACTACACTCAACCTGTTATTTCTACTAAAAATTCTGACATTGCCATGGACGACCTTGCGCAATGCTCATGACAAGGCAAGAGACAAACCGTTACAGGAAGATTTGATTTAGGCTGATGACCTGGCCAAGCACCCAACAACCCACCCATAACGCACGTGGCGAGCTCAAGTTTTATTTGACAAGGGCAAAACAGAAAAAAATCATGTTGGCCTCACAGCATCGGAGTTTCAAGAAACTAGGGTTGAATACCACCCATTCAAAAAACGAAAATTCAGAGAGCGGATTCAACAAGAAATTAGATTTCAAAAGTACCGCAACTGTCTGGAGGATAAAAGAATGAACAAGCTGGCGAAGTTGAAGAAGGAAGAAAAGAAAGAGAAAAAGAAAGAAAACTTGTTGCTCTATGAACAACGCATGAAAGTAGCAATGGCCAAAAAGGAGGAGGAAACAAAGAAGCAGGAGGAAGAATCGCCGATGTCTGAGGACTAGCAAGTAGTAGTAAAATTGTATTAGATATGTGGTAAATTATCCTATTTCAAAGAGAGGGTGACCTTTAATCATTTGGAATTGGACTGTTCCAACAACTGCATTTTTTGATGTTTGTCTCTCGAATATTTGAACCTGTCGTCCAAAATAATAAAAAGCACTTCAATCAACAATTAAAAGTTTCATGGTGAAGCCGAGCACGTTACTTATACTCGTGGTTTTCTTTGGAGTCTGTGTTGCATCTCGCTTGAAGCTGCCCTTCCCCCATTGGAGAACATCATCCCCCTGACATTTTCTGAGTACGTTTGAGTTATAACTCACACGTTTGAGTAAAAACTCACACGTTTGAGTAAAAACTCACACGTTTGAGTTATAACTCACACGTACTCACACGTTTGAGTTATAACTCAACGCCGTGAGTTATAACTCAGGATTCCGTTGTGATCTGAGTTATAACTCAGAAAAAGTCACAATGACCAATCGGTCATCTGTGTCCATAAGTCCTTATTTGATAAATCATCACATAATAATATGTCATTAATAGTTAAAGGGAAATAACATAGATTTTTCGAAGCTAAAAATATAATTTTATATCTCCGGGCACGAGCACGTCAAACTTTGCGATCAGTGTCCCGAAAATACTCGGTCTGAACATTTGCCGGGTGTTCCTGGAACGCACCACAACGTGCAACGCACGCAATTGAAATGTCCGTTAATTGTTTTTTTTCGTTGAAAACGTGAAGTGTCCGTTGCTATTTTAGCGCGGGCGCACTGTGATAGCCCCGTGCGTCAATTTGACGCAAAACGGGCATGCCCCGCGTCAATTTGCGTCAATTTGACATTTTTGACACAAGTGCGTCAATCCCGTGTTAAGTTGCGCCAATCCCACGTCAAACAGATGCAGTTGCGTCAATCCCGCGTCAAACTCAAGCGAGGCCAGAAACACAATGTTATAAGAGCACAGTACAGGTTCTGACACCAGCTACATCATTATGCTATGGGGCTAAAGTTCTGGATCCGTTTCTCAGAAGTACTCGGCTTCATAGTCAGGTATATCCCAAAATTTCACAGTTCCAAGCTCTAAACCAATTTGTATTGATACCAGGACAGCACCTACCGCAAACGTATGCTTATCATAGTTATGGATCCAAATACCTCGCAATGATTGGAACTTTTTCATCTTGCAAAAGACACATTCTTGTCTTGCACGAACAACACCCTTTTGCTGCTTTGCCCGACGCGATTTGGCGACTTGAGGATTCTTCAAACAGCATTCGCCTGAACACCCAGCATCAGCCTCGACACATTTGCCTGCGTCCAATTTTGACTTCAGCTCCTCTCGGAAAATCTTTATATCCGACTTGCCACCCTTGTGCCAACCGCTCCAATGGACAATGTAGCCGTTGTGAATAGAGCTAGCAACATCATACTTGAGGCCTGCTTTGTGGCGTTTAACATCCCACATTTTACTGTCAAACGGCCACTTATCAAAGCACCCAAACGTAGTAGCATCGTAGACAATTGAAGCCATTGTGACCAACTTGTTCCATCCAATCAGTCGGAGATCCATCCGAATCACCTGGTGGTGTAGGTCATGCACAAGAGGAATGAAAATCCAAGCCCATTTACAAAATGTATTTGCACTGCAACTAACCATCTTTGCATTGGCGTCATCGCCAGCATAAGCATATAGAAGATGACGTGGGGCACCACCCTTGGGAATTTTGTTGCTTTCAGCTAGTCTGTTCCAAATGTTACTAGCTACCTCGAGCGAAGTGCCAAAGAAGCATGCCCACGTTCTTGCTTGTGATTGGTCGGTATACATCCAGTTCTTTTTTTGGTTTGGAGTGCGTAACGTGGCAATCGCAATGGTTTTGAACTGGGCTGGACTAAATGGTGGGACCCGTACCACATGATGACCTTGCTGTGTTTGCTGCATTGTTTATAGTCCGGAGGAATCAGACCAAAATTTGTGAGCGCGAACTTACGTTTCCAGGTTCTCAGTTTTTAGGTAACTTGAAACCAACGGCATTCTTGGGTTTGCTTGAAACGCGCACCAGACGCATGTGATATGCAAACCCACAAAATTGAACTTTCCTGGGACTGACAGCATTGCAGTCGGCACGAAATTATATCGCTCAACAGAATGAAAACACGATCGGAGACTAGTTGCTAAAACTCCAATACTTTTTCATAATTTCCAGCAATCATGCCACAAACAAGGCGTGATAACAAAGGTACAAAACATCATACAGAGACAAAACCAGCTGAAGAGCAATTATTG